ATGTTCTTTAAAGTGCTGTAACATTGTGACTATCAATCTGATGGTCATGAAATATAGTGGGCTGGTAGGAAATTGAATTATGTACAAATGTGTAAAATATCAGTTCTTAAAATGACAAAGATATGAGAAAAATGGTGTAAGTTTTTTTTACCATCCTGTAAATGGCCTTCTTTCGGCCTTCTGATTGTCTCATATGCCTCACAAGTCTCCACATCAGGTCAGATTTGATTATACTGTGGTATGAACTGGACTTTGTTTGGTTTTCATAGTTACATATATCTGTGTCTTCCAGAGAAGTCTTGTTTTTTCTGTTCTGCTCCTTGTTATCATTATTATTTTCTGATCGTTTATACAAGACCATGGCCATAGGATGTGTTGATCCCTTCCCATCAATAGTGTATTCGATTTGATCAAAGTTATGGATTGCAGCATCCACTAATAAAACCAGCATTTCCATCATCGGCAGGTTTCTCAATACCACTGAGATTTTTTGTATTTTTACACAAATGGTGGACATTTTAAATTGAGCAGTCATATTGATAATTCCTTCTCCAGCAGAGGTCCTACATCCATAAGGCATAAGCCTATAAAATTTGAATCAAATATGTCAATCGGTATTTAAGTAATCACCCAAACATACTTACGGACAGACGGGTGGCTTTTCTATATCCCTCCAGCTTTGTTTGGTGGGATAACAAAGTATTAAATAAACTAGCTACACATAACCTTTTGTTGAATGTATTCAGCAAGACCATCCTATCTAGATGGCCATAAGTTCTGCATAGTGACTCTGATAAAACAGTTACTGTATGGCAAACAGAAACTGAAAATCTATAAGTCTGTATATATTACATAATATTATATCCTCATATTAATTATGTTATTGTGGAAATAAAATTGTGCTATCACATCCTTTTTATTCATTTTTTGTATTTGGTGAAGTTTAACCAGTTTATTGCATTAAAGCGTGTCTTGCAACGTCTAATTTCAAATTTTTTAACATTATTACATAATAATTACATAATTATGATTAATATTGATTTTAAATTTCTTAAAATTTTGTCATCAATTTTTTCTGAAAGCATTACCACCATTATCTGTTGTTATACTTTGATAAAAACCTAACCATAGCTGTTTTAAACCTTGAAAATATAAAAACATAGAAAACAATAAATTATGTAACATTACGCTAATTATCTGGAATCTGACCCATATTTGAAAATGTCAAAATTGGTTTCTGAAAACTTCACATCATACCGAACAAAATGGTACCACATACGTCTTGTTATACCCGGTGCGGGGGTATGTCATAGAAAGAGGCCTCACTGGAATGTCCCTAGCCTATACTATATGTCGAACTTCAAAGCACGCATGTTATTGGTTTATACGCGCAATCCAACCAATACTTGTTTAGATTTTACAATCACGTGAAACCAGCATGAGACAAGAACCAATCACGTCAGTTGTTTATTACGAAGTTGCCATGCTTAAGATAAACGATCTGCCCTCCGCAGTGATATGTTGAAGACTAGCGCTACATGGCCGCTCGGAGTATTTATCAACTTATCAGGATTGCAAAATAAGGAAAAACACAGATTTAACCTAGATTTTGACCTTGGCATTTGACTGTCCACATTTTGGATTAAGTTAGCTTAGAGAGACTCCTCAGTTGTAGGCTATCATTAGTCAGATTTCTATTCTATTCTGATTGCAGATTCGAAATCTTGAGAAAGTTTCCTAGTATTTTGATACCTCGCACGTTGAACTTCAATAACTATTTTGTTGACGTTCAAAATAAGGAAACCTTATATTTCAAAATCGGTTGATGTAATAAAAAGAACAGATGACACAAAGTCTGCTTAGAAACTACATTATGGAAAAAGATAAAGAAATGAGGATAAATAACAAAAAAGATAATTGACAGAATGCCGACCTAAATGAAAATTTGACCTATTTTTCCATCTTTGAATATTATAATGATTAAACTCGGATGAAGTATATTCCTTAAATGCCACATTTATGTCATAAATAAACCTTTTGTGTCAACATCACTTGGGTCAACATGAACTCTATATGATATTTCATTGATGTTCAGACGCCCGAATCATTATATTGATATAAAAATAAATATAAACCATGGTTGTATTGAAATGTTGTACTTAACCAATACATATCTGATCCATGGATTGTTTTAATCCCCATTTCTCAAACCATACTCCTTGGCAGTGCTAGTGTTTGAACTGCCCGCGATGCTAATGAATTGCTTAATGCTTAATAAGTTTTCCACTAGGTATCACGAAAAGAATTATAAGCTAATGATGTGCAAATTACATGGTCACACATTTTCAACAAAAACAGTTCATCCAAGCGCACTTTTTGTGTCAATTTTGTCGACAAATCGCGATCTGTCTGCACCGCGTGTTGCTAGTGCACCACAAGAGTTCGATTTCAAAACATCAAGCAGATGCGGGTCACTGGGACTTGTAGCGAGACTAAACTATTATTATCAACAAAACCTTAAACTCAAGATTTCTTCTAATATTTTATGATTGTCTGATAGTTAAGGTGACATCTGATCATGCAAATGTACTCATTAAACTAGCTTTTAACTTTAAGTCTTTTTTCACAATTACAATGCTGTCAATTTGCCATTAGTTAATTTACTCTAATGTATCTTGATGACATTATATCTAGCACAAAGTTACAAGGGGTTTGCATTGTTCATTGTAGGAGATCACAACCTTCTATGGCATCTATCTTATTCTCGTAGTATACGATATTGTAAGCTTGAGAACAGAAAGGTATGATAATAATCAGAATATGCCTTGCTTGATAGATGAACCCTTGTAACGTGCTACAAGTTGTAGTCGAATAGGTTAAGCCCAAGTCACATTTGCTCCACGGCGTTCGTACAGCGGCAACATCGATAGAGAAAATCTACATCGTATATTTCATGCTGCATATTACTCTCGATTTTCAGAAGCTACGGCCGCCGTGCACTTGTCGTATATCAAATTTGAACGAGGCATTATTAAATGTATATTGTAGGGAAGGGGCAATGTGGGGGGAATGGGGGGGGAACAATGTTCTATTGTTGGATGAATGATAATAATTCTCTCCCGGACTGATTGCAGCTAATCTGATTTTTTGAGTCGAATCTTATCGATAAATTCAATGAGCATTGTTTATTTTCGAAACATCAAAAAGATGAAATTCAAGTAAGGAGCATCAAATATGTTTTTTGATTCTTAGTTCCGTTTCTTCCTCTGAAGAGTATTTGTATCACGAATCCATATATTGGATCATTTCTAGTCATTTCTTTGTGGATATAGCAATCGGCATGTACCTTCAAAGTCGTCTAAAACGAAGAAGAATCAAAATCGGCTTGTATACATAAGATAATGGGGTCATGCCAAACATAAATTGTATAAAGCAATATTCCTCACAGACAAGGGAGGATTGAATGAACTAGGTACGAGAGTACAAATATAGGTAATCAAAACGTTCAAAAATCCTTTAGTTAACCTTTAATGTCCTATTCTTACTATGAAAACTCTACTGATGCTATTCCTCAAATGGATGCCATTGTATAGTTTCTAAATAGCTGAATAACGCTGACATAATATATGTCACCCTTGTTTGTCTTTGATTTTCTTGGGCCAGACCTCCATTCACTTCAATGTTAGAAACCTGCAATAGTCACATGATTTCATGATTTATCAAAAAATGTTGGTTGAATCTGTCTCGAAAGACATACTATTGGATGGCTCAGTCGATGTACATATTGTGATTAAACATGAAACTGTTGGTTGTCATACAAATAAACCAAGGTTTTAATAATTTTTAGCACTGCACCAATGGAGATTTGGCTCGAGTTTTTTAAAATGTCATGGCAAATGATTTAAATGACAAAACAGTGTAAATCAAAGCTAAAAATAAGAAAAAATAAATAAAGAAAAGTAAGTCATTAGAGGTAAAAAGTGCAAATCTCTTAAAATCTCATGAAAACGACAATAAGTGAGATTTCAAAGCTATTTAAAAAACTCCTCTATTATTCAAGACAGCTCAGTTACCTCAGTTACAAGCTTGACAAATTTTCAATGTCTTTTCTGGGTTGTATAAGGGACTGAAAATGTCAAAATATGTTTCTTTAGTTTTTTTCATTTTCCATGGATTGTCGCTTTGGTGCATATTTAACATTAAAGTATCTTCCGGGCTCAGCACCCGCTTGCTTTAAGTTTAGGGAGATTGCTGGTTAACTATCGTACGAAGTCTCAATTTTATTTTAATGTTTATTTCCATAATTCCTTCAGAGCAAAACTCATCTAGTACGCAACCACTGAGCGATGAGCGATGTCCTCTGCATCTTTTTGCCGTGGTTTTGTGTTCCACACCACTTAAGACCGAATGACCCTTATTATATCAATACTAGCATCTATAGCTATATTCAATGCCAAGTGTATGGAAATCTTTGTTAGTTTGTTTCTTCAACATGCATTGCTATGGCTTCAGTAGGATTGCAATTCCCACTGTCTCGGCGTTCCGCCTACTGAAACAAAGGCGTCAATACCTGGAAAATTATCGGTTGTTGTAGTACACGTCTATAGTAATGCATGAAACACGAAGAGCCGGGTATTAACGTTTTGCTTTATTGAGATTGGTTCCTGAATGATAGGGAAGAGAATGTAAGATATCGCGTCATTGTACTTGGACTCGTAGTTTGGGGTATTGGGGTTTGTGTTTTCATTGAATGATTGTAATCTTCAGTGTTGTGTTATGATTACATAGTCGACTCACTTGTGCTTTTTGATAACAAACACACATTCAGTAAAATACTTTTTGAATATTTTGAATCACAATTTTCCATTCCGTGTTCATTAAAATGGAAATTTTATTTTTAAAGTACTGTCAACATATTCGCGAGATTTATGGTTAAGAATACACGTAGTGTGGGATATTAAAGTAGAAAAGCCAACTAACCTAACTGATCTCGTTTCCAGATAGTACCCAAGCTCAAAAGGAAACTACTATATCATCGGTGAAAACGACTTCTATGAACACAGCGTCTACATTGGGTTCAGAGATGACTGGCTCCACATCGGAGATGAATATAACTTTAGCACCTTCCATTGCAACAGTGGAACAAAACTATGCCACAAAACCAATTGCCATATACCTCATAACAACGAAAGGACAAACTGAAGCGTATAAGAGAGCTAAGAGAATTGAATACGAACCCGTAGAAGCAACTGCTGCTGTAACTATAGGCTCAATTGGACTAATTATCGTGTTGATAGCTCTCATTGCAGTATTTATAGGAGACCTGGGAGCGTTTTATCAAAATTTTAAAACAATGCAGCGTAATTTATTTGGGTTAAAGCAAGAGTATCAACTTCAAAATGTGTCACATGCTTCTTTGACAACGCTTAATTAATGTTATCATGTGCATTGCATCAACAGAATTCTTATTCACCCAGATGTAAACATACATGGCCATTAATCTAAAAGAGAAGGCGCGGGTTGCCACTTTTTGTCTGGTGAAATAGATTCCAGAACATCCGGGAAGTTTCATAGGGCACCAGAAAAAATCATGAACTGTTTACTTATGTACAGTTTATCTGAAACACTACTTTTTACAACGTAAACCGCGAACGGGAAGGCGCACGCAGGTTTTTCCAAGGATGTGACGTCATATTGTTCTACTTATTTCCCGGTTTACGTACATCCAAACGTGAAAAATCAAAGTCTAGGTAGGTCGTTCCGTAAAGGATTTTTAGTACGATACCAAGTTCGATCGAGATAAATATGATATAGGTCAAATGCATGAATGTGTTTGACACAAATCTGTGGACATATCGAGATCATTTATGTCCAATCTAATCAATTATAACTTGAATATTGAGGCACCCATTTCATATGTAAAATCTGATGAGATTACATACATGGCAATTCCCACATCTCAAATTATCTTAATTCTACTGTACATATTGTGTTCAACAATCAAATAAAGCAGCATGGAGACAACATGTACATGGAAGGCGACATTGAAGATTGAACTAGTATTAACATGTTGTATTTTGTAAGATCCAAGATGTCATAAAACACTGCCAGGCTGTGAAACATCTCCTCTGTTAAACACTTTCATCAATTTGTCGATAAAGTAATATTTTTTATATATTTTTAAAGTAGAAAATAAAACGAAAGGCCGCTAAGAAAAGGGTAAAAAACAGTTTGAGGTTTACGTTTACGTTACGTCTAAAGTGCTCAGCTTAAAAGCACTTTTGTTCATGGTACGTAAACGAGAACGTAAAGGTTTACGTTTGCGGTTCACATCATAAAATATCGTTTTGCTTAACCTCTCTAATAGAATGGAATAGTCGGGACATTTCTATTATAATTGATATGTCTTGGCAAGTTAGCATATCACCTTTGGTTTTAAAGTCGTATGGATGCCCACCCCTTTCTCCCACTTTATATGGATTGGACTTGCATCTTCCAAGAACAGACTAAATAGATAATTAAAGTGTTCATATATATTTTTGTTGACAAAAGTACACCTATATTTGTTAATTCATAAGTAATGAGCGTACAAATGTGATATAAATTCTGAATATTAAATTATAAAACGTAATGATAATTATATTTTTAAACTCTGTATTCTGTGCGTTTAATGGCCAGATGGCGCTATGTCATGATAACTATCTGTAACAGGCTAGATGCGCACATGGAAGAAATGTGCTTATTTCAAGGCCCCGAGTGAAAATCGAAGCTTAAGCCATTCAGATATTTAGCCTGCTCTGACAGAAACTGTCGCATGCAAACCGCAGTATGCACTATAGTTTTTGTTATGTGAGCCTCACTGAGAATGATTTTTGAATATGAAAAAAGATTATTGTAAAAACAAAGAACACGACAAGCAATTAAACAGTATCCACTATGTTCTCTTATTTCAATTAAACATATACAATCGTACTTCTTATTTAAAGAACAAATTTTATTGACATTTCACTGCAGCATATCCGTCGCCATTGCAGTTGTTGAAGTCATAATCAAGATAGTCACGTGATCCAAAAGTGCGCCTCTGATCATCAAATCTTCTCCAGTTGGAACAGAAAATATCGTCATATGTCAAACTGACGGTGAAATCAACTTTATATTGACACTGCCCCAAATGTCTTTCATCTCCGTTGCATTCAACTTCAGTTATCCATGCATTTTCGGCATCACCAGGTATTGCATATCCTGTAGCGTTTTTGTATTCCATTCCAAGTTGTTTACACACAACTCTAGCCTCTTTATCTCCCCAGTTTGTTGCACATATTTTACGTGTGTCTTCATTCACTTTCATGTTCAGGCGTTGTTGGGCATCTATATGCACAGGAATTGGCGTACAAAACAAACTCGCTCTTTTGTTTCCGGGGCATGTCACATTTTTACCATACTTGAAGGCACATTCTGCTAGATTGAGTTCGCTTCCTTTACATTTCACGTCACTTATTTTGATGTCGCCACCACCCTCGATGCATTCATCATATAGACCAAATATGTTCAGTGCGGCATTGGCAGGATCAAAGCCTAGATAGAATTGGTATGGACAATTTGAATATGGACAATGGACAATTTGAATATTCATATGAATCTAAAGTAGAAATACCCAGTGAGAATACCTCTTTAAGCGGAACACATTTGTAAGTATGTTATTGGGCCTTAATAACTGGAACACCTTCAGAAAATGATAACTATTTTGTGGCTCGACATTCAAAAACACTTTTTGTTCGATGCATGTTATGGCTAAAGATATGGTAGACGGGAAAATACTTAAACGGATTTCTGACGATGAAAAAGTTTCAACATATTGAAAATGGCTCCTTGAGAATGTACACAAAAGGAACAAGGTTTTGTCGATTAAATGGAGCAGACTGGGAACGATTTAGACTTAAAACGTGCAAAATGTAAACATTATTCAAAATGGAACAAAAAAATCTAAATCACTGAGAATGTTAAACTCGACAGTGAGATAATACGACATACATGTATTCATTCTCTTTTAGGTGATTACCCGCGCCATGTCCACATGATGATTAATATTCCACTACCCATGCGGGTTTCGTGGAAAATCACTTGTGAACAATGTAAAGATATTCAACTTAATAGAATGACAGAATGAGTGTACTAGTATTTGTTCAAATTGTAGGTAGATTTTACCTGCTTGCCTGCATACCACTTTGGCTTCTTCGATTCCAAAATCATTTCCACATACAGTTGAAAAACCAAGAAACGTGTAGAAATATCTAGCGGTTTCCTAAAATTAATATAGGTGAAGGTCAATAACGAGATATAGTATTTTGAATTCGACATAAGTTGGGTTGCTGGGATTGGATCATTTTTAGCCTTGTTATAAATACTCTTCTTTTTTGTTCACTATTCGTTTTTTCATTGTTGTGGATTTGCCCATTTGCGCGATACATCAATACTGGCCCATTTAGAATAATGACTGCTTTTGAGCAAAAGGTGGCATTTTTTAACCGAAAAGCGCTTCGTAGATATTTTCTACAAATGAACATTTACAGATATATTTGGACTTTAAGAATCTACCTGCACTTTCAGAAACCACGTTGACACTCTCGTATGTCTTAATGATAAATTGGAAAACGAATTACTGAGTGATATTAAGAAATGCTTGCCAGAGGGACTTTCCGCTTTAAGTGAAATTAGAGGGATATTGGGTCTAGTAAGTCATGACCGAGGATTCAAATCTATAAAACACACATTTCTTTACATAAAATATTATAGGAATATCCTATGGTTTTGAAAAAATATCATTTATATCCATGAGTGGATATTGATATCTTCATGAGTGAGCGCAGCGAATGAGTGAAGATATTTGTATCCATGAGTGGATATAATTGATATTTTTGAAAAACCATGGGATTGTCCGTTTATCCCATGGGAAATTATCATCAGCGAAAAAAGTTTAAAAATATAATTTGAGAAAAAATTTGAAAATATAATTGAAAAAATTGAAATTTTGAAATTTTTTAAAAATATTTTTGAAAATAATTAAAAAATGTATATAGAATTTTTTTTTGAAAAAAATTCGAAACCATCGAATATCACTTTTAAAACCATCGAATATCACTTTTCAAACCATCGAATATCACTTTTTAAGACGTGATATTCGATAGTTTAAAAGTGATATTCGATGGTTTGTGAATTTTATACTAAAATATGATATCTTGATCCACATATCAAATATATCTTCATGTGATATTCGATCTATATCCTTGCAACCATGGGATAAATATATTTATCTCATGGTTACAAGGATAAAGATCGAATATCAGGTGAAGATATATTTGATATATGGATCAAGATATCATATTTTAGCAAAAATCCCCAAACCATCGAATATCACTTCTCAAACCATCGAATATCACTTCTCAAAGTGATATTCGATGGTTTCAAAAGTGATATTCGATGGTTTCAAAAGTGATATTCGATGGTTTCAAAAGTGATATTCGATGGTTTAGATTTTATCAATATTTTTTTGTCAATTTTTTTTCAAGATTTTCTTTAAACATTTTTTTAGATTTTTTCCTTCAAATTTTTTTGTTTTTGCAAAACATTTTTTCGTCTTTTTTAAAACATTTTTTAACACTTTTTTTTGCTGGGTTAATAAATTCCCATGGGATAAACGGACAATCCTATTGTTTTTCAAAAAATATCAATAATATCCACTCAATGATATCAATATCTTCACCTATTCGCTGCGCTCACTCGTAAATATATCAATATCCACTCATGGATATAAATGATATTTTTTCAAAATCATAGGATATTCCTATATTATCCATGCAAATGCCAACCCAATTTTGTAAATTCTAAAAGTAATGTACAACAACCCTAGCTAGATGTGAAGTTAGAAAAGGAGGAAAATCTGGATAGATCAAACACTTACAACATTATAACATTTTTGATGAAGTTGATGTACTTTGAATTTTGCAAGGAGTTTCTTTAAAACACTTCAAAGACTTTACATTGAATGTAGAAATCATCAAGTCAACGTTATATTTATCTAAATACGGTGCTTGTGGCAGCAATATCTGCAACATGTTGCAAAAATATATGTACAACCCTGTGCACTTTTTTATTTATTGCAATTGTTATGCTGCTTAACCTGAAATAAATTTTTATTACAAAGATACCGACCCACTTCTCCTTTGCATTTCCTTCAGGCTCTTCACAGAATCTTACAAGTCCATGTCCCCATTGGTAACCTCCCAAAGAAAGACATTTCACAAACTCATGGATTTCTGAAGTAATCGAATGGACAAGCAACTAACTCATTTTGCAACAACATTACATCAAAAAAATAAATCAACTCAAATGCATTTAAATTTGATATATTATATTTGTGTTTCGATTTGGACAAATTTTGTCGTTTTCATGTCATCAACTATACGTGGTGGCATTTTACACAACAGGGGGAGAACCCCCAGGGTTCAAAAATGACGTACGTCTATAATGTAAATCTGTATTGAGATGCCATACCGTCCTGATTGGTCCAAATCGGCGGAATCAACATTTGCGTATGTATGACTGATGTGATCAATATGCTTAAATCGATTAAAACATCTCAATGACGTGTTATATTCGAAACCTGACTGATGAGACACAAACGAAGGTGGTACGCAAGAGACGTTATATGGCTGTCATCACCAAAGATTTGGGGGTTTCCCTCCTCTTATTTTACACTTACTAGGTTCCTCCTCGAAGCAGAACACACTAACATGACGACAATGTTCCACTTCTCGCTTGGTACAAAGTTGTATAGTTGGATATATCCATTCATTATTTTGGCAATCCAATGCGACAGATTTTCTCGCGCTTCCCTGCCCAAATTGATTGTAAGGAACAGCGAATGCATGTCTCCCCAAGCCACTGTTTTCACATGTTAAATAGGCAAAACGACGGTCCATAACGTCATTTATAAGTCCCGTCGGACAAAGGTTTGCCCATTCCCCTTCGTGAAAAACTTCAGGTCTCCCAGAGAATGAATTTCCACCAGAAAGTCGAGTTTTTATGCCATTTTTCGTACATGATATAGTTACAAAATTGTTAGGTGAACAGCCCTGGTTGCCTTTATCCCACCGTTCTATGTTGCATTGAGAGAGACTCGCTTCGTTCCCATTACATTGAATTCTGCTTGATGCAACACCTTTTGTATTCATCAAAGGTTCCACATAAAATTCTCCTTCCCCATACGTCGCAAGTCCAGATTTGATTGTTACTGCATCATCAGGGTTGAAGCCCAGCTCCCCACACACAACTCTCGATTCCGTATCACCCCATTGTTCATCACACACATACTTAAAGGCCGACCTTCCCATACAACGTTATTTTTTAACATATATAACTATCATATTAATTTGCCACTAAGAAGAATATTAATGCTTTATTATATACTTAACATACTTTTAAAGTTTTTTCTGCAAAAATATCGAAGTACGGCCATTAGATTGAGTAAAAGGTATGATGTAGGATTAGAATCACAGACGTTGGAATTTGTTCATTATTGTATATTCTCTCTTTATAGCTCTTGTTGTGATAGGTTCCACGGAGCAACCAACGATTGCCTTCTAACGACACGTGATGGTTTAAGTGTGCTATACTAGAGCCCAAAAAAGTTCTAAAATCATTATCCTATTTAAGTAACCATATTCAGAGTATTGGGAATTTATTTTAGCAATGCTATCCCACATGAATCTAGTTGTTAAGACTCGATCAAGTTGAGTTCTTCAGATCACTCGCAAACGGCAGAAAAGATAGGGTCGTGTAAACCAGAATGGTATTGACTTAACATGTAATATACACCATTGAGTTATGACTTAGCATCGGGATATCATCATGCATGTCACCATATGATCCTCATTATCTCAGGAAAACTCAAGTTTATCGAGTCTCTACAAGTAGATTCATGTGGGATAGTATTGGTAGGATCCATTTTACAAAGTAAGAATATGGGTTCTTAAACAGGACATTAAAGCTTAACTAAGGCTTTTTGAAATTTCTGTAAGCTGTATACCTCTTTTTATGTGCTTGCGTGTAAATCTGCTTGACTCTTAACATACCAAACTCTATGGACTCTGTTATATCTCCATAATCATCATCTACCCATTCATTTCTCCGGATCAATTGTACTCTAAGTTCTGCATCTATGAACAAAATGAAAATGTCTAGAGGGGTGTTTTCATTTCAAACCACATTGTAATTACCATCACTTAAAATTATGGTACCATGTCGAAACAAGTGGCTAAACAAGCTACACTGTTAAAACCTAGCATTTAGTTTGTATCAGAGACTAACCCTATATAGTCATGGGCGTAGCGCTATTCTTCAAAGAAAACATGCGTTTGGTCCCGAGCGAGCTCATTCGAGCCTCGAGAATTACGAGTCATTACGGGCAAAGAGGAGCACGACCCCGGCTTGTACGATGCTCGTAATTGTTGTTTTCAATGCCCGTACAATGCCCGTACGAGCTTGTACGAGGCCCGTTATCGGACTTTTTTACAGCACAAAAAGGTGTTGTCCCATTGGTGTACGGCTAACTTAACGAGGCCCATACGAGGTTGTTCAGGGCCCGTAAACGAAGAAATTGTTGCTTATCGGATCAGTCTGAAATTCTTATTTTCATTTTCCCCTTAGAGTAAGACTTTTTTAAAATTGAATGAATTGAATACCTTTTACTAGTGTTCCAGGACATTCTTCTATTTCTTCAAGGGTACAATCCCCTGTGGTACTTTGAGAACCTCGAAATAGGCAGGTTTTCAAACGCATTCTTGTGTTGCCCTTCGAGCGACATGTTTCACTCCAGTCACCCCATTCTGTAAAGAATAATTGTTTTGTAACAACAAAAACAACAACAACACTTTTGATACTTAAGAATATCAAAGTTGACAAATTTAACTTTTTAAAACTAATTATGCTTTGTCATCGATTTTCAAGTATGAGGAGTTAAAACCACTTTGTAGTTTTATCAAATATTATCGGATGTAATATGTGAACCTTTTTGCATTTGAAAACTATAATTTAATGATATTTTGTTTTGAAAATAAGATTTTGCTAGCAATAATTGAAATCAATAGGTAAAACACATTCAAACAAATTTTGTGTTGGAGTATATTGCTTAAAATGGAGAAATTGAATCACAAACCCAGATACCTGGTCGAGAGAAAAATGAATTTCATAATGACAATGGCAATGCTTTATAATGTAATGATTACATAGCAGATGAAGTTTTACTTGATTCATCATGCAAAGTGAATAAAATAATGCTCTACGATGTAGTTGTGTATTTTATGATCTAAAATCTAAACATTTACCCAAAAATGGTAAGAATTCAAATACCTTTATAAAAAGACCAGCCATTTTTTCTCATGCCATTTTTGGGGAAATGGATTAATAATTTTTGGACTCATGTCAAGTTATGATTTGAAACGATATTCTGAAACTCCACTCGAGCATTTTAACAGATACAATTTTGGATACTTAAACCACGCATGGTTCAGCGTTGAATCAAATCAAAGAGTTCTGAAAGCCAAACGTTCGTAATGGAGGGTACATAGTACATACTGTCTAAAACCTTGACTACAGAATATAATTAGGATACTACAAACCAGCTATTTTATCTGAAATCCATGTTAACATGTGTGAAACGCTAGTGTGTCCAGTTTTTCCTTTGCTAGTCTTTTCGCAGTTTCTCAAATCGATCCAGCTCATTATACCAATCACAGTTGCTGGATCTGCTTCTTTACTTTTACATACCACTGGCCCTCCACTATCAACCTAGGACAGAATGTGAACGTGTGATAGCTGTAACAATATTAATGTTTCCGTTTCACATGTAAACCACATAGTTTGAAATACAGATATAACCCCATGTGCTACTTCCGTAATCTATGAGTCTGTTTTAATAATTTGTAACAATAGCAAACAGGTTAAGTAGACAGCATTGCAGGTACCATTGTAAATCGTGATGAACCGAGGGTCACTTAGTAACAAGCATAGCGTAACAATCCAGATCAAACGTGAAATAAAGTGCGGTAAATTCAACGCTCCATGTAGGAATCGAACCCAGGACCTTATTGAAAGTCTGACACTCCACCACATGAGCTATAAAATTTTAGCTTTATTACTACAGCTCGGCAACGACTTACTTGACATAACGTCCCAGTACCTTGATTAGTTTCAGTGATAGCAACAGTCTGGTTAAAGGTGAGTTTTTTGCCATACTCATCAACAGAAACAACATTTAAAGATCTCAATTCAGAAGAACTTGATGATGCTATTAAAATAGAAAATTAATAGTTAACAAGGATTTGAGTTAAGCTCAGTGAATCTTAAACGACATTGGACAAGTCACGATATTTTGAAGCTATAATTCTTACTTTCATGACAAATTAAAATTGCATAGACGTAGATATAAGTTGAGTAATATTGCATATATGCGTAAAGCCTCTGTCACATTTGCTCTTAGACAGGCGTACGGCGGTTATAGCTTCACAAATTCGATACAGTATAGAAAATCTAAATCATACTGCTTATCCTTATATTTTATGTTGCATATTTCTCTCGATTTTGGAAAGCTACAGCCGTCGTACGGTTGCCGTAGATCAAATGTGACTGAGGCATAAAATACATTATTTACAAGTCCACGGTGTAATGGTAAACAAAATATAACAAACGCATTTACGCGCAATACGTACACATGGAGTACCGCCCAAAGTCCGCCATTTCACAATACCATCTCTTCAATTTATTATGTTTCACACATTGTCGTTCTGTAGAATCTCTACATACACTTATCGGGAGATTGCTCGGGCGTGCAGTCGGCTTTGTGAAGTCCAATGGGGCGTCGAGCTTGATCAAAGCTATATCATTTTTCAATGGACGACCTAAGGAATCCTTGGTGTAATTCTTATGGATTACAACATTTGCAATTCCCCTTGTTTGCCCGTCTTTCTGCTTGTCTCGACCTTCAGGTAAACCAGTGGTCACGGTCCAATGTTTAAGCTCACATTTCGAATACCTTCATATCAATGCAATAAAAAGCAAAAAATGATAATAAGATATGGAATGAATGAGGAAGGATGTGTGTGAAATGGAGTGAATGTATAAAAAATATATATGTAAGAATATATTACAGAAGTCATATATGATGATAATAATAAAAAATAACAATAAAAAAAAAATAATAAAAAGCAAAAAGAATGAAGGGATTGCAAGAAAATATTTTTGTTTAGTAATCGTGTGCTCTCAAAGGATTGTGATTGGGGCAAAACTAAAGTAAATACTCCAACTTACAAAAACTCTTGGTCAGCGGAACAACAATATCCCTTATAGCAAACACAATTAGCAGCTGTCAGTAACCACGTATCAGACAGAATAACACCACTGCAAAAATGACCATCACTATCACCATCAAAATAGCGAACGCTCTTTGAGATAGAAATCATGTAAGCGTAAGCCTCAACGTTCGAAATGGGGGTGCCACCAGTAGATTGGCTGTTGTTAGAATTTAAACATTCACACTTTCCTATTTCAATCGGCTGTTTTCCGTAACATTTGTCGCTGGGCTGTGCGACTTCACTATCATCCATACACAATTTACGACGTTCCCTCGATGAGCAGCCTGCCATGATACCGGGACAGCCACTCCATGGACTCCACATGGCCCAAGATAATATACCATCTGGTAGGTAAAAAGTAAAAAATCAGCATTAAACATAATTTCAGTGCATTGTCATTATTACGTAAATTATATAATTATGTAGATGTCCAATTTTTACAATTTAAACTCAATACTCATCAGTCTTTACAATCAGGGGAATTTACTAAAAAGTATACCTGGAATACGAAGGTTGCTCAGATTTTCTTCCACAAATACATATTTGTTGCTTAAGGCATCCGTGCGATCAGCTAGAACTGTTTTTAACAAATAATCATCGCTGTATTTATGCAATGCCGTTTTAAGTTCCGTCACTAGATTGATCTGTTGACGAATCGTGTTTCGTTTATAGCCCTTCACTACAGCGAGGCTTAATTTGATAATATTATTTTTGTCTTTTTTATTATCTACAGACGAAAGAAAAAGTGACACAGAATCACGTCCAGTTTTGAATCCAAGTCCTGTGGATACCTCTCCAACAGCACTCAATACTCGGTTAATCGCTTCTCTTGATTTACTCATTTCTAACCTATCCTTTGATAATATATTTGCTTTAATGTATTCCTCTATACGTTTTGAACCAAGCTTTAGTTGTCGATACAGGTTGACGACAGTCAGTTCTTGCATCAAGTCATTTGTCGATTTATATCTTATAACGGCAATTTGTTTGAGATCATCGACGTCTCCTTTGCTCTGAGCCAATCCAGCATGGACACACACCAGAAAGAAGCAGATGGCGTATGTTGTACTTGTCATAGCTTAAAGGCAGAATCAGATCTATAGGGGTGAAACAAATTACAAGCAACATGTACAATTGACCTACCAATCTGTTCCTTACATTCTCAAATACAATATCTCCCAAAAGATTCACGATATGTTATAAATTGGTGAAGTTATAATAGATTCAAAGTGCAAAAATGGGTGAAAAATGTCTTTAGAATTCTCCCAAATAATAATGATGGCAACCATTCTTATAGAAAATTAATACATTATTGTAAAAATCTTTACTCTTCCTGAAATAAAGTGTGCACTTTGGGGATTTTTAGAAAATAGACATGAAAAGGAATGACATTAGCCAGAAATATTTTAAAATTGAAACAATTTTTTGTTAGACTGCTCGCTAGATCTGATTCTGATTTATAATCTAAAATAACAGTTAATTATTAACTATGAAATCATAATAAAATGCAGTGTTTAATATGAATACCTAAAATAACGCCTAGATATTTATTTTTTAATTTATTTAGTCATGTAAAATATACTTACATGTACTTTGAATGAAAGCCATGCTCACATCGAATAGTAATGAAATACGAGATTGAATATGAGTCTACATGAAAGCCTGACCGTAATTCGTAGTTCTTAGCACACATGTAAAGTTTATTGCTATATATCATAAATTACAAAATAAACAGCGTATCAAATACACGTGTATAGATAACAATAAGCACTTCATTATCATTATTGGTTTGCTTTTTGATTATGTACACTACCTCAAAAAGTTTGGAATTTTCTCTCATTGATCTGCATGTTAATTGGAGCTTGTGTTTTGTCCAATTGCATAAAAAGGCTTACTTTATCACTGATTTTATGAATTGACCCTATTTCCATCTCTTCAGAAGTTCCCCTCATTGATTTTTCCGCGTTTACAAAGTGTTATGTCCCACATTCGATATAGGTCTGGAGCTCGCTGAATAGGATGGTTTGACGCAAACAGCAAATCAAAATTATGTTAATTTGATTAAAAAATAAAGAAAATTGTTTTATTTAGGGAATGGAACTTCCTAAAAGTTTGTACAGTTTAATGCAGTTAGGTTTATTTAAAATCATTTCGCTACCAAAAGTATTTCAATGAAATGAGTTTTTTGAAAAAATAAATCATTCCAATAATTTTTTGCCTCTGATAAAAATAAGAAATAAGAAAGTCATCAATGCCCGACATATTGTGAGGAAGGAAAAATCATGAATAAAAAATCCAAAGATGATAAAATGATGCCGATGATGATCATTTATATGATAACTTCTTAAATAAGTCAATTTTCATTGATCCTTAAATAGAAATTCTAACGCTAGTACCAGTTAATGTATAGGAAAAAGGTTTCCAAACTCTTAGAGGGAATGTAGATTTTATTTATTTTTATTTTTTCTCACATTATATCCATTAATTCTATTATTTTTAAATAATTAATCAATATAATGTATTAACAAAATGTTTACTCATTAATCATTATATACTAGTAAAATGGAATAAATCTAATTAAAATGAAGTGTTTTAATAATGCTATGACAACGCTACATTTACATTCGGATACATACATTTTTGTCTATCAATAATTCATTCAATTATTTGAATATCAATATACAGCTAGCTGTGTCAATAAGTAATGCATGGAATCAATTCGAAAATGACAATTATAAAAGTATGATATTTACACAGCAAGTCCATTGACCCTTCTGTATGTATGCGTTGTCATCGAAAGATTTGTCCAGCGTGGAGAGCATCCTCTTTTTCATTTAAACATACTAAAAAATCACAAATTATTTTTTAACTCATATGTTTCGTTATAACAAAGAAAATTACCTTCTCCAAGTAATGGGTTTATCCTTTGCGTGTAAACTTCGACTTATGAAACTAGCTTCTTTCACATCGCATTACCCTAAATAGTAATGCAGGCAATGTATCTTTTATAATATTTGTTTTTTATAACACCAACGGGCAGGGCAGGGGGACGTTTCAAGAGTTGAAGTGGTACAGTAACGAATAAAGGTACTATATTATAGGTCATTCAAACACTCGGTGGAGGTGTATTATAATATTCCATAATTAGGTCAAATGAGGTCAAAAGTAGATCGAACTAAAATAGGGGGGGGGGGGGGGGTTGTATCTCAGTCAATAAAAGTCCGATTACCTTGTAATATGGCTTATCTTGTTTGATAGTGTATCCAGTGTACTACATGGTATTTATTGAAATAAGAAAATATATAGAGCCAGCTTATATTTCTATTCAAAAATATCTAAATCTTTTGTATTTCACGAGATTATTACATGATACAATACACTCTAAAACGTTTCTAGGGTATAGTGGTGCAATGCACTATGCTTTACACTTCAAAAATGGATAATACAACCCTTTTACCCTACTACAACCCCAACTACTTTATGTTGTATCACAAAAATGGGCAATTCAACCCCCTCCCAATTCATGTATTTGAATCTAGTTGTGTTTATATTAGCATATTCCTATTTTATATACAGTAAATACTTTATTAAATTATGATTTACTTAGTTTAATAATTAATTAACTTATTTACTAATCATTAATTAATTTAATAATTTCTGATCTTTAACGTCTGGAACTTGAGAGAGAGAACTGTCTAATATTACAAACCAAACATGTTTTTCGAATGCCTCCTTTACTCTAACCTCAAATCCCGCAGTTGTTTATGAGTATCAAGGTTGTTATCTTCAAGAATGGAATTCACATTTGTTTAATTGTTGTGTCGGTGACAATGACTAAACTACATTCCTTACCAGCTACGTAACACTCACTGGTAACACTCACTGGTGCTGCATTATCCGAGCGAGGACCTGTTTCAGTAACAAAATGTCGGAACCTCAAACTTTCGATTTTTCTTTTTCCTTATTTCACGAGTTGTAGGTAGATTTTCCACGGCATCTGTGTCACAGTGTGTAAGTTTCATATGTTTTAGAAAATCTAAACGTTTTGGAAAAAAATTCATAAGACGATAGACCTGCACTTTTAACCCATTCCGTTTACACAATGATAGTAAAAATTATATCAAGGATAATGTCTTCTTCTGAACTGTTCGCAAACGCGTTAATCTAATCTTAGACTTGTGCTACCAACACACGTTTATTATAAAAATTCATGGGAAATTCTGCCTATATAGATATGTCTTGAAATAGAGAAAAAGAAAACTCGCACCTTCGAGGTTCCGACATTTTGTAAGAAAAACGGATCCATTTCGGCAACAAGTTTTAAGATTGCAGTACATTTTACACTGTGATATCCACCAATAGGTCAGAGTAAAGCTGACTACTTTTTAATTGAGCTGTGTGAAGTACACACTCAGTACATGATCATTTATATTCATTTTCACAACTGATAATGTCTAAAATAATATCCTATATAACCCTTTTACTATTAAAACTCTGTTTATTAAAGTACATAGCGAGGAGAACGAAATATGGACTAAAACTAAATTAGGTTAAACTCATTTTAGATTGGCAGTTACAGACTTTAAAAGCAAACACTTTTGTAATATATTTTCATATTTTTGGTCATAGTGTTACCAGCATAGTTGCGTATATAGAATGACGATGACACGGGATGTAATATATAGGATTAGTGTGTTACTAATATGCTGTGTTGGTAAGTAGTATTATTTTGTTTTATATCCATTAATGGATTAATTTCAACCTGGCTCAACATCGAGTGACAACTATTACTTAGGCTAGTAATAATTAAACACATATACCGTTATATTAAACGATCTTAACTTCATAATCTGACATGGTGATCTAGCTTCGATCACATGTCATCTCTATGTTACAGCGATCTGATGTCATACCATTTCTGGCTATTATAGTCATCAACAATTTTTCTGTAATTAAAATACGATAATCTGTCATGTGACATTAGTAAAGACAATTGTTCATTATTCTTTGACGTTGTGACACTGGCATTTCCATGCAATTTTTCATTTAGAGTTGGCACGTGGCCTTGAGTATTGTACCAGTTACTGCGATCGGCGTGGGACTTGGCAGTCGGGGTTTGTATGTGGTATGTTCATCAGACCACCAGTTGTACTCAATTGCACACATATTGTCTTTTCATTTAGAGTTGGCACGTGGCCTTGAGTATTGTACCAGTTACTGCGATCGGCGTGGGACATGGCAGTCGGGGTTTGTATGTGGTATGTTCATCAGACCACCAGTTGCACCCAAAGGAACAGTTGCATTCAAAGGAACAAACACTACACTCTACTGTTGTGGATCCAAGACTTTTAGGTACCTCATATTTTTGTTGAATAATACCGTTATCTATTCAAAATTAAAGGGACTATTTTATATGAGATCGAGATTTTCCTTGATCATTTATTCTAATTCTACATACTTGGAATAGCAATAACGTGATTGTGTCAAAAATATATATTGAAAGTTCAAATGAAAATGTGCACAATATATATTCCGAGGTTTTAATTAGCAATCTTTAAGAGGCCATTTCCTCTCATTATGTTTGCTATTCTTGTATTTTAAGATTCTGCTGCAACGACCCAGATTCGAGTATTGCCGGCCTCTATCCCGAGCGCTACCACTGCGTAAGGAACATGTCTAATAGGTAAAACCATGTTATATGATTACCATAAGTAAAACATATGAACGTAAAGATAAATTTTTTTAGCCATTCTCATGGGTAAAATTGTGTTATATTATCAAAGGTTAACATGTTATGATAATCATAGATAAAACATGTTATGGTTCTCAAGGGTAAAATATGTTGATGTGTTAAGATTATTGTAGGTAAAATATGTTTAAATCCTCACAGATAAAACTTTTTATGATAATCATAGGTAAAATAAATGTTATTGTTCTCACAGGTAAAATATGTTATAATAGTATAGTTTCCATATAGCTTTTGAAATCTCACTAAATCTCGTTTTTCGTGAGATTTTAAGAGACTTGAATATTAGACCTCTAATGACTTACATTACCTTCTTTTAAATGGCATATTTTAATTCAGTGAAATGTTTTCTCCTATAATAGCTTTGATTTACACAGTTATGTAATTTGAATAATTTTCTATGACAATTTAAAAAAACTTGGGACCAATGTCCATAGATGCAATGCTAAAATTCTTTAAAACCGTGGATTATTTGTATGTCAATCAACATTTGCATGTTTAATCACAACAACTACATAAACAGGGTCATCATGTGGTATATCATTCAAGTTTTAAACAGATTAAACAAACAAACTTTGATAAATCATGAAATTAAGCCACTTTTTCAAGATTTTAGCATGTAAGTGAATGGAACTCTAGCCCAAGTAAAAAGCTGAATAACAGATGGCAGCACTAGATTTCATTGATTTTTCTGCTATTTAGAAACTATCCTATTCCCTACGGCGACGCTTAAATCAATCTGTCGTCGAGTGAATCTCAAAACTGGAATTTCACTGGCGTCTGCTGGTAGGGATACTAGCATGCATAGAAGACATGCAGCAAAACATGATTAATAAATACTGAATAAAAATAATAGTTCACGTTTTCAAGAGATGCGGTGTTTGAAACCTTGTTAAACATTTACTCCAGATATCTACGACCCTTGAAGTGAGATTGATCGGTAACTAGAAAATTATACTAGAATCGTAAGAAGCGTTTTTGTTTATCGCATTAATAGCATTTAAAAATCAATTTTAAGTTCTTATTTGCAGATTTTCAACGTACCTTTGATAGTGATTAAAATTGAAACATATTTTAAACTTTCAATTTCAAATTAAAAACGTTATGTCGCCTTGCTTTGCGCTGATTTTCTGATCATTTGTGGTACCGCATGCTTTTGAAACGTGTTTAACAGTTGACGATAGAGAAGTAATATACTTGTAGTGAACAAAGGTGATTAGTTTGAGTAAAATAGCTTTACAAATAATGTTATGATACATCAATGGTCACATTTTACACCTCATCGTGAGGATCGTATTACATGAACATGAACATCCCATCATGTTCATGAACATGAACATCACATCCCTTCGAAATGTTGGTGAGCGGATATCATTAATTGATAGAGCTTTAAAATCGAATTATTCAATTTTTAATCATCCCTTTTCCTAAATTTCAAAAGGTCAGTGATGGCAACACCGATGAATTTGTTAAATAACCATTCATACGCAAGCTTGATAATTTGTATGATGGCGGCTTTCGGTTTGTTACGCATTTGTTTTGTCAAATGCAAGTGTCAATGTATTGTCTTTCTTGTTCGTTTTGCTTTACAGACTTTTGAGTTCATTGTTCTGTTCATGTATTACAGATGGAGAATCGTCCTTGGTGTCTTCACGGCAGTTATAATTCTCCTGACATGTGGCATGTGTTGTTTCTTTGGATGTTCCAAGACACAGTTTAGCGCCACTAGATCAAGAACAATGCCACACTGTACAAGACATGATACAAACAATATTTCAACATCGAATCGTCTTGCCAACGGTGGATTTGCAGGTATGCTTTCAGTAGAAAAAAGCGTTTGGGCCTTTCTTTGGTCATTTCTCTGTTGTTTAATGACAATATCAATACTAAGATAATAACTCTTAGACTTTTATTGTACTGTTTGATGTTAATTGCTATTGTTATATTTTAGCCTGTCTCCTTTGGCACGATTTGATAATTTTTGATATTTATTTTAGTTGAAACAACATATACTTTATGTTGAAAGCTTGTAGGCCCTGTGCCCTGCTTCTTATCGTGTTTTACAGTTTAGCTGTTACACTTTTTTAACACTGCTTTTAAAGAATGGTAGAATGTCACAGTATGATATTTATTAGATAGTTGTTAATAAACTCGTTGAGAATATATTTGGCTATTGTTAACTGATTTTACATGCTTGTGTTTTTTCTAGAACACGAAGAAATTATTCTTTCGGCCGGACCTGTTCCAGACTTTAACTATCCAATCTATCAACCCCCGGCGTACCATGAGATAGCTTTAGATCCCCCTCCGTTCACAGAACAATCACCAACCACTCAGATAACACCTTACTCTACCTCAACTACGGTTCGTGTATCTCAAAATGCTGGTGTAAGTGGGTTGGTTGTTGCTCTGGATACTATTCCAAATGATAGTATCGTTAATACACCTGCTAATGAGAATCAGACAACTACACAAACGATCGAGCGAGTCACCACTGTATCGTCGACAACTACATCATTGATTCCTAACACAAACGGTGCTGTAAATAGAGGAGTTGATCCAGAACAGACAAACTATGCTAACGCATGCGCACTTCCACTTCCTGTCATGGCGAATGAAACAGAAAATGTTTCTACGAGACCAACTGCAAGTGCAAATGCTTTAATGTCGGAAGTTGCATCAGTTTCGAACACCAAACAGCAATCTAACGACATTTCTTCTAACTTACTACAGGATTCGTCGACAGTGAAAAATAGCACAAACATGGTAAATCAAGCAAGAACAACCACTGTTGTCAATCATAAAGACAATACCAATCATTCATCGTCCCTGTCTCAAACTGTCGAGGAATCAAACAATCATGTTAAACCCCATTCAGATCGAAAAACTGTTACATTTGACAATGCAGCATTTCAATTTGACAAATAGAGGAACACACCTTAAATGTAAAAGTTACTAAAAAAGAATTATATGTTTCATATGTGTTTGAGACTATTTTGCGAGTGAAGGATAGTACGATGATATAGTCATAAATAGCCAATATTTGTTAACGCCTCAAGGCATCACATCACAAACCTCAAAAGAGAAATAAAGTGGGAAGTTGAAGAAATCCACGATCCAAAACAGTTTTTACTCACTTTCTAGCTAAAATCTAAAATCGTAGTGATTAATGTAATAAATATATTCTAGTGGTTTATGAATGTAAACCCTGCATTTTCCTCATATCTTTGTCACTGTGCGAAAATACTCCCTGATATTTGACACATGTGTACATTATTCGATTTCCTACCGACCTTCCATAATTGATTACCATCAGACTGATATTCACAATGTAACAGCACTTTGCTTTGCAACAACATGCAACAACACGCCTCTCGTTTGGCCATCATCGCGCTGTAGGCAAACCTGCCCAGTTGTCAATGAACCGAATGCATTCCTCTGCAGATATGGTCTGACTGACACGAATGATCTTACTTTTGATGTCTTCAATTGTCCTGAGGTCAATCGAATACAATCTAGCTTTGCCATATCCCCACAGGTATTGACATTTTAGACGAAGTGTGCAGCTTTGCCTACAGCGCAATATTGACTACTGGAACATGTTCGTTAAAGTGCTGTAACATTGTGACAGAAAAATAGATCTGGTTCTCAAAATAGAGAAGATCTATCTTATGTTCTGTTCCTATCATATATAAAAATTGAAGTATGACGTATGTATTTGAACCATATTATGTGTCAAAGTGATAATATTTTAACACTAATACTAATTTCATGAATTTATTTTTTATCTTATTACATAACCAACATGTCAACAATTGTGAAAAGTCCCCTTAAAATCATATGTCCTACTATAGATTACGACAGGGGTTATATTGTCGGAATAAAATCAATTACAAATTACTGAGATTCGAGACTATGGTACATAAGGAGGTGGTTTTTCTGTAGTGTAAGGCGGGGGCATAATTGGCTCGGATGCATAAGGTCCAGGCGGAGTAATATTAACGTTGTCGTAACTTGGCGGAGATTGAGGTTCCGGCGGATCTCCATCTGGAACAGTGCTGGATATAGTTCCGACAGTTCGACTGTTCGATGACGTAGCTGGAAAATTATAGTAGGTATTAATTTTACTATCAGTATCACATGTAGGTGAAATAGAAAAATATCATTACATGTTAAGTATCAAAATTCGGATCTCTAGTTACGTGCACATTCCCAACGCCCTCAAAAGACATGTGTTATGATCTTTGTACCAATTATATATGCCATGTATTTCATTCTTATTTGTAAATTAGGGTAGGACAATGATATACTTGCAATATCCTTTAACACTTGATAAAATAATGATACGAGCAAATACAATTAAATACAGTACAATACAATACAATACAATGCAATGCAATACAATGCAATACAATACAATACAATACAATATAATAGAATACTATACTTTAAGGCAACTCGATATAATGCAATACCCAGACCCACATCCTCTAGAAATATATTAAGCTAGAATAGCGCGCCTATAGAACTTACAATTATTGTTTGTACAATGAAATACAGTACAATATAATACAATACAATATAATATTAATGCGATACACAGACCCACATCCCCTAGAAATATTAGCAAGAATAGCACGCCTTTAGAACTTACAATTATTGTTTGTAGACCGCGAGGGCCTTTGGCGGTTGCATCCCTTGAGCTTGAATCCGTCTTTGCAGCACTGGTAGCAATAGATGCATAGTGAAAGCAGCAATGTGAAGCCACCAAGTACAATCCCAGAGTAAAGAATACTGCTCCAACTGTAACATTAAACGGTGACATTAAATATGTCACCATGGGGAATAAGTATAGTACTAAGATTTATCACATGGTTAGGAGTTTCTAAGCATTTTGATTGGTCATTTGTGATAAATGATAGCATTAGATATGCATTCAGAAAAATAACATTCAAGGAACAGACATCACACTAAAAAATCCAACGTACTATGGAATGGTAAAAGAAACGGGGAAACGTACTGTGTGACAATTAAAAAGTGACAATAGGGAGTTTGAGCTTGCTATGTTTTTCACAACCTTAACGTGAATGGAAAATATTTAAGCGATGCATTTGTATGGGCGATTGGTTATACGTATAGCGTGGCGTTTCGATACTGCACGGAATACTAAACCACTAGACCTCCCAATCATATCTATGACTCCTCTAATTGTATTACATGGAACTAATCATATCTGGGAAATAGAATAAAACAGCGAAGGCAAAGTTAAATTCTAATCGTCTTCCTATGAAACATATTGTTTTCTCTCACACCGCAGAAATGATAGAATCAGCCAATCATATATTAATTGTAAATCATCTAAGATTTCTAGGATTTCACACACAAACAAATAAAACGTAATCGAAGGAGTTAACCGTAACAATAAACAAACAAAATACTAACTAGCTATTCAAAATATCTGCACTCCTACAGTTGTGTCCCTGTTTGTATTTGTTAACGACGCTACTGTTACTATTTGAACAGCATTTGAGGGAGAATCGTCCTGAGGGAGTCGTGTCCTCGCAGCAGTAACCTTTCATGCAGTAAACGGCTTCATGCCATGACCCATCAACACAAAATGCTGGGCACACCTCGCCAACAGGCTTGGTTTCTGAAGCGAAAGAGTAGTTATATCATATTCTAGATGTACAGTAAATCTGCGCAGGGGTATTCTTCTATAATCAGTGTTCTTCCAAAAGTTGAACACTTCTCAAATTCCCATTTCTTTAACTTAATCGTATCAACACCAGGCTCTACTAGCCTGCCATCTTTTTATCCATAAATAGCAAATGGTTAATAACGACCAATTAGATATTAGCCCTCCGAACAAAGTTCGAGAGGCATATAGAGAAGCCGTCCGTCCTTCGACCAGTTTGTCAATCCGTCCGCCCATCCGTTTGTCCGTTCGTCCGTCTGTCTGGATGGTAACTCAAATACCTGTCGACGGATTTGATTCAAATTGTGTAGGCTTAATGCTTATCGGTGTAGGTAAGAGCGAGAATGATTTTTATATGGCTGTCCATTTTTTGTAAAAATGATCTGCTTCTCCATGGAGTTGCTGTTTTTTAGTTCTAGTTTATATATCAACATACCTCTTCTCTTGCGACTCAGTTTTATTTTGTTCCTTCCATTTTCCCTACAATTGTGCCCATCCCTGTAAGAGGAGTCTATTCTGTCAAATCTATTTTCACAACATTTAAGGCCCTCAAATCCGCCAGCGGATCGTTGTATGCAACAATAAGGGGGAGAAATGCAGGTGACCTCCTCAACGAAGTTGCCTGTATTGTCACAATAGCTAGGGCAATAGTCAGAGAGTCTCTTGTCTCTGATGCCGTATTTTAATGTGGATGCTCCTGTAATGAAGTAAGACACAGGTACAGTGTGTGCAATATAGGTCAATGCAATGAGAACTTCATAGCGTCGGTATAAAAAAATAGGAGCCAATTTAACAAGTCATTTCTCAGCTAATAGTTGGTACTAATCTCTGATGCCGTATTGTAATGTAGATGCTCCTGTAATGAAGTAAGACACAGATACAGTGTGTGCAATATAGGTCAATGCAATGAGAACTTCATAGCGTCGGTATAAAAAATAACAGGAGCCAATTTTTTAATAAAACAAGTAATTTCTCAGCTAATAGTTGGTACAAACACTGTAGAGGTCTCATCACAGAGCTCCGGTATTTCCTAGTTCTACTCACAGAATATTTACCCTTTTTATCTTTCTTTATATTATGTTTTTCAAACTTTCCAATGATACTTTTTGGCTACTTTGTACACATTTTCAGTGATTTTGGTTCATCAGTTGCTGAGAAAATATTTGTAAAAATATCTTTCATTTTTTATGGGACACCCGATATAATGGCATGGTTCAACATGTATCGCACGATATTTATTTTTAAACTTTAGTATTGTTTTTGCCCACCTTGTAATTAGATCTAGTTGCGTCAAGTCTAGCAATCTCCATTTCAACGATCGACTACCTGGCTTAAAACCAATTTTCGAACTAAGTGGTTGGAGTGCCTAAACATGAATTTTTCATTGGCATTGGTTTTTAATTTGATAATTGATAAGTTCATATCTTCAGATCCGTATTAGGAATGACCTACAAAAGGTCTACAAATTAGATTTTCTTAAAATAATCTAGGTGAAATATATGAAAATTAGAAAGATCGGCTCGTTTGGTTATTTAAATTTTTTTTAATTTAACATTGCTTTCAATGGAAAAAATCTTTTTTTATTCCAAAAAATGCTAAATTCACATTTTCTTTAAAGAATTGTGAATATTTAAGGAAATACAAAATTATTTATGGCGATATTCATGAAAATTCACCATCCGGATCTTGAGAAAAATAACGTTGAATATTATGAATCAGTGGGAAACGATTATTAACCCATTGTATATGGTGACTCGTATTGCCAAAATGGACTGGACATTGAAGTTCAGAAGAGACAATGCAGCGTTGAATTCAAAGTCAGAACTAAATCTTTAGATATCGATAGAAGAAAAAAAGGACACGTGATATTTTGTGCTAACCCTTTCCATGCGTCCAATCAATGATTAAACCGACATATTTTACATGAACCTGTAATCATGACTTAACATGTTTTACGACAGTATAAAATCATATATGCACCTTTTAAACACTATATCTAGACGAAACTTAATAGTTTGCCTTTGTATTTTTAGCATCTGGGGCAAAGACAGTTTAAGTCACCATTTATATACCGATGTTTTCGATTCACATTGCACTCTGTATTCATCTGCATATACATGCACATATTTTGCTTACGCTACAATCTGGTATTTCTACATTGGTTTTTTTTCCATCATGCCACAAAACATTATTAACAGGAACTCTAGACAAATGAAATAACACAATATGTAAATTGAATTATAAAAATGAACTTAATTGTTTGAATATTACAATTAACAAGATTCCAACCCACCTGTTGTTTGTATCGACACATATGCTATCATTAAACATCCTAAAACCCGTACTATCTCATTGATAGACATGGCATAATGTCTAAAAGTCCTAAATTAACAAATCTCGATGATCTAATTCTAATTCATTATAAATTGATTGTTTTACTAGTATATAAGCAGGTAATCTTGAGCATGCGAGCAATTGTGTTGATAGTGTGGGAGACTAGGTGCAAGGTACGGGATTGATAACTCAAATCGTACTTCTCTTAATCATTAACTAAAACATAACAAATCGCATGGGTTAGGCCCTTAAACGTTAGTTTGTAATGTATTTCAAAGATTCATGAATAAAGTTACATTATATTTACTGTGTGAAAAAGGGGCTAGTTCAGTCACCTGACTTGAATCATACTCTAAATTTCAAAATTGTAAGGATTCCTATAGACTTTTAATTACAAAACCCTCACAAGTACAAATAGAAGACTTGACAAGGACAATTTGTGTGTAAGACTTATTGGCCGCTAAACTGACACATAACTTGTAATTGCCCTATTTGTTTTGAAAATATGCTTTGGTTTTTTTAATGTAAGTACGGTGGGATCAGTCGAGGGTGGCTGTTTGGGGATTCTTGGCGGTAGTGTAGGGTGAAGCAATCTTTGTTAAATGCTGATCCGTGAGTGTTGCCGTGAGCTTGACACTCGTACGTTATCTAAAGAAATAATGAGCGGTTTGCTAATTCATAATTATAAAGTTCAGTTCAGCCCTTGTTAATCATTAATACTATTTCACAACTTAGTGGTTTTCTCGATCTAAACACATCAAAACGTAAAAGGGAGAGCGCCGAGGCACCGTAACTGAAGATGTTTATATCACGAAGATGACCGAAGATGTTTTAATCATGAAAATGGCCGAAGATGTTTATATTATTGAGACGGCCGAGGTCATTCAAGGAACGAATCAAATTCATTGAAGGGTTGTAGCTTTTGTTGAGGTCAAAAAGGCCAAAAGAGTATTTTTTCAACTTGATTCCAATTGACCAATTTTTTTTTCAAAATAATCTAAAAATTCTCAAAAAATAAAATATGACTATAACTTTGATCTTTAATGACATGTCAAGGTCAAAAAGGGTTTGATCTTCAAAAAGGAAAATTGAAATTTTTTCACAAAATGTGAAAAATTCACATTGACCTCGATTGAACCTATATTGTCATGCAGACGATGTTAGCTTTTTGATTTTGACTTTTTAAACGTTGGTCGCATTGCGTCCTTTTTAATAGATCTAATATAATATGATTTTAGAAGTGTATCGGTTCAAAAAAATCTTAGAAGACCTCACACATTTTGCTACACCGTGCGCATATTCATTTAGCAATGCACTAGCAAACATTTTCTCCCAGATTTGATGAAGTTTCAACCAGAAATTGCCTGTTCCTTCCATTCGTTTCTCCCGATCATCGGTCGTGGTAATTACGAGCATTTGTTTGCAGAATCAAAGAATCAAACAAAAGTTGAGTGAAATAAATGGAAATATGGTCTCAAATGACTTTATAGGTCACTTTGAATCTTAAAAATACCGATGGGGGCTTTTAATCACCCATTACATGAGTGTCAAATTGCGTTTTTCTCCCAGTGTATTATATTTATTGTTAATGGACCAATATGTTTAAGTATGATCGGGCATCAATTAACCCGCCGTGTCATTGTGGATCTTAAATATACTAAACTATAAGCGCATTCCTTGGCTAGATCAGATGTCTCATATAATCAAACATTTAATGGTGAAATAGCACGATCTATTAACATGGTCTACAGACAATACATTTTCCCAAATAAGTCCATTCTTCAATTTAAGCAGTGCATGTCGCGGAATGAATTATTATCTGAGAATTTAATATATTCATACCAGGATATTGTTTCATCAAGAAAATACCTTATTTCCTAATTAAACAGTCTTCACCACAAACCACACAACATAATATCACATATATTATAGGATTAAATTTGAGCCAGCAAACATAAACTAAAACTGTGACTGTATAAACGCTTTGGTTGCTACTCGCAGAATAACACGATGAATCCCATCGTGCATCTACTCACATAACCTACTCATGATCACATCATGTCATCCAATCAGTTGAAATCGCGTTCGATTTCAGTAACGTTACGACATTATATCAACCGGAAATAAAATGATTCAACTCTAATTTCAAACGTGTTGAATTTTAAAGAAAAAATCAAGTGTTCGATATTTTTTCTATAACAATATAGATGAAAGTATACATATATGTTTCAAATTATATTGTTACCATTCAAAAGATGACCATTAAATGACGATGTGTTAAATCTTTTGATTTTTTATGACTGGTTTTAAGAGAAACGTGTGTTCGAAAAGTTCTCCATATCGATACCACTCCGATAAATCGATAAACTTGTACACAGTGTGCACAGTGTACTTCCATTTTGAATATAATCTTGATAAAGCTAGTTGACTAGCAAAACGTCGAAAATAAACCATTACACTCTGAAGTAAATTAAATTGAGTTATTTAATATATAAGCAGAGTCATGAATATAATCTACACAGAAAAAAGAAACCATGTTATTTTGACCAGACAAATAGTGTTTAAGTTGGCAGTATCGCCATTTGCAAACAAAAATAGAATTGACCTAATGCTAATTTGTTGCGAATTCAACTGCCGGCTGACTGCTGACAGATTAAACTACTATTTCATGACCAAATCATTTCAATATGAATGGTATAGTATATGCCACCAATTCCATTGGCATTTAAATGAAATTGCAACTGTCAACTGGTACTTTAAAGCAAATGCTACAAACCGTTTTTCTTACCAATCTCACAATAAATTCGTTTGACACTTTTGTTTCCGACGTATTCTGCGCTCCGACCATTAACAAATCGAAACACAAATGAAGAGAGTACACACTGGAGGAATTACATAACCATATAACCATATACATCTTACCAGCTGGCATCATTAAAGTGGCAGACCTTTCCTCATTGTGAGATCCACATGTACTATGTCTTGGATTTAGATAAAATGGAGACAAATGAGAATGTCCCTAATCGCTACATCATACAAGAACAAAGAACGACATATAATACTATTGATAACCTCCTTTTGCAATAAGCAATTATGAAAAACATGATTATGATTTAGAGATTCTTTTAGAACATGAGAAAGGATTATGCTTAGATTATGCAGATGTTCTCTGATCGATCAAATACTAAGCTTAATGAAAGGATGAAAAACACTGATGTGAAGTATCAAGATCATCACAGGTATCTGCCACTTACAACTTGTACCCACATATGCTTAAATGTGTAAGAAACCGGTATATGTATATATTTGAATCATATTGATTTGGGCGTCGTGAACCTATGTTCACGGGGGATAAGCAAAACGAGGGCGAAGCCACGGACTGCGACTCGCGTAACTTTACACCGCAGCCCAGCGCCAAAATGGAGGGACATCCGGCAGTGCCTTCTGCTTCTTCCGACAAAATAGAGAAATCCAGGTATTTTAAATGCTATCGTAGTGTCTAATCGGTGACCAAAATATTACTCTGTATCTACTGTTGGTCTGTAGATAAGAAAATAAGCAGTTGTCCAGATCAAGCTAAAACAGTAGCCAAGTTCTGATTTTACCTGTAAAATATGTGCATATTATTTAATTTACTATACATTTGAAAGGAGTTTTAACACGTTTCTGATATCTAAAGGTTAGTTAAGGCTCCGAGTATAATTCGTGAAAATGATTTGATAATAGAATGTGTTCATGAGGAGAAAATTAGATTCAAACTGCGCATTCATAGTGGACGCAGTCCAGTAAACAAAGCTATTTCAACAACGCAACACAGCCTCCATTGATATTCTAAGCAACGCAATCACCGCGAACACGAAATAAATAAGATAGTGTAAACTATACTCCTACGCTATTATTGTTTCAGGAAAAGAAAGTCAGCATCCAGATTATCATTCAAAGTTACGTTGATAACATATATCTATTACCTGAATCAATGTCCCAAATTGCTATATTGTATCGTTTAAGACCTAGAAATATGGCAATTCAATAGCGTATTTGGCAGAACAGTCGAGCGCAAGATGACAACTTAATATGTTTATTACAAACCAATTTGTGGATAGGGTTAAATATATAGATAATTGGATAGTGGTGAGACTTTTTATAAGAAGTAGAAATGCGAAACAATTAACTTTTTGATGATGCAATAAAAGCTGTTGGGGAAGGGTATATTAACTAGTATTTAAGATATCAGGAAAATATCAAATAATTGGAGAGTTGGTGAGTTAATGTAATTTTGGATGATCTTTCCAACAGTCCATCAATATTGCTAGCTACCATAAATTCATGATTTCAGCTGTATTTGACAGCTTGTATATATTTGCAGAATGGATTGAGACACGATGTAGGTCTATTGAAATAGCCCTTTATATTCAATTTGTCCAAAGTTGCTCCATTTCGGCCACACCTGTACACACACTGTGCTATCTACCTTTGGCTGTGATTGCGTTCAGCTTCAGATATAAAGCAACATTGAGTCGCGGACTGCGTTGGGCAGATGGATGGACTGCGACTATTATAAATTCCAATTTTCTATGTAATTGTACGTTTTCCGCTTACCAAATATCACACGAAGATGTAATTGTAACAACAGAACATGAATAATTATATTAATTCGATGTCATTTCTGATTCCTTTGTTTAAATCGGTATATTAGGGACAAATATTGACAAAATTACATTTTTTGTGGCAGATTTCGAATTCATTTGTGTTCATGCTAAACTATTGGACAGCCGAGCACCAAGAATGCCATTGCAGGTGGAGTATGAATATGTTGATCACCGACTGGAACATACTAGCTATTGTGTAGAATATCCAAACCAATAATCTACCCCAAATCCTAACATGCCTTCCAAATTAAGTTTGGACTTACCGCCATTGTTCAGCTATAATGCGTTGTAACCTCGTTTTGAATTACGCGAGTCGCAGTCCGTGGCTTCGCCCTCGTTTTGCTTATCCCCCGTGTATGTTGCAATCCGCATATGATCAGATGGGTCAGAAACAAGTATACATACGAAATATGTTGATTGGACGTCATGAGCCTGTGTTGTCATGCACATATGATCAAATGGGTCAGAAACGGGTATACATACGAAATATGTTGATTGCACGTCA